CTGAGAACAATCAGGGTTGATGGGGGGTGGGAGGGAGGGAAGGCGGGCGGTGGGTATTGAGGAAGGCACCTGTTGGGATGAGCGCTGGGTGTTGTATGTATACCAATTTCACAATAAATTTCATATTAAAAAATAAAAGAAATTTGTCTCATAGTCTTGTAGCACTCAACTGATGTTATTTGTGCCCATTCTTCCACTTACCAAAAGTCTCTTCCCCTCTCTAAATACCATCTTAAAATCATTTTATGTATTTGTTGATAAATGTCATTGCTAACCACCTCTCTTGGGTTTCACAGACTCCTTTAGGTCAAGGTAGTTCTTCTCCTTTGTTCTTTTAAAACATAGCTAATACTTACTGCAGCTTTGTTGCCTTTTGTGGTTCCTCACTAAATTTTTGTATGCTAGTAACTGTTTATAAATCACTTAGACATTTAACATTTTGAAATGTTGGTGCTTATATTCTTGTTCAAGTGACTATGAGAATGTGAATTTACATTCTTTCCAAGTACAGCATAAACTGTTTTCCTTGTCTTTCTCACTAGAGGCCTTTAACCAATTGGTTGTGTTGATTGCTAACCTTAGGAGAAGAAGCTGATGTGTATTGGTCTTGTTTTCATAAATGTGCCTGCCTGGTTACATGTTTTACCCTACAGGAAGAAATACAGCATTGTGTTCATCTAATGAAATGACAATTAATAGCCAGGTAGTCATACGGAGGGAAGATGCAGTGTACTTTGCCAAATTCTATTTCAGATAACTTGAGTAATGTTATTCTTTTTTTTCCCTCAGTATTCAAAGGGAGAGTACTTAATTTTTACCTGTAGGACCCAGATTTCTTCAACACAAAACAACTGATTTTTTGATATTTTGTTAACCTAGAATAAACTGATTTACATTGCGTAAAAGTAAAGTTTTTTGGGGGTTTTTTTATGCCTAACTTGTCAGTTCTTTTGTGCTGTCAAACCAAACGTTAGGGCCTAGGCATAATAAAGTATGCTTTGAATTAACAGTATCAGTTTTGCATTTTGTTGCTGAAAATTCTATCTGAAATTTTCACTAGAGAAACTCCACTTTCATGGATTGCATAGTCTGTATTTACAAATGTTGATCCTAATTCCGCCCTGCTTTGTCTCCTTGGAGAAGAAGACAAACATAACTGTGCTTATTTATCATTTGGAAACTATTAGGCTTCACATTGTTCCTTAACCACAAACTGAATCCTTATTGCCAACCAGGTTTGCATGGCTTGATACTTAAGTTTGCAAGAGATAGAGAAATGAAGAGAAACTGGATGATTACTTGGCAGTTATGATAATTCAGTCGTGATTAGCTTTACTGACCATTAATATGAAGTTAATAGTGTTGTCTTCCTGTGTACCAAAGAACAATACACATCCTATCCATGTGAAAAGAATTTTTACTTTTTGCACTGAACACAATATTGAGGAGTTAGTACATAAGTATTCTTGAAATATAGGTGCTCTAAAAACGCAAATTGTCATTTCTCTTGGTACATATGTATGATAATAGAGCATTGTGGGTAAGAGCCTGGAGTGGTGCACCTGTCTGATTCATATCCTTGTCCCCATGCTTACTAGCTGGGTGACCTTGGACAAATACCTTAATCCTCTCTGTGCCTTAGTTTTCTAACCTGTAAAACAGAGATAATAATAGGACCTACTTGGAATTGTTGTGAGCTCAAAATTTACTAATTATGAGAGGTAGTAGAATAGTACCTGGCATATGGTAAGCTATATATTAGTGTTTGTTATGGGTGGTAATTGTGTTTCTTTTGTAGATTGCCTGTTCCCCATTTCTCTTTTTTTTTCTTTTGATTTATAAAAACATCTTTACTTTGTAGACTTTGATCCTTTCGTGTTAGAAATAGTTATTTTATCATTTGTCTTATAGTCTTTGTTATACTTTGTCATACCAAAATATTAAAACTTTATTCTAAGTTTCTTAATATTTCTTTGATAGCTTCTAGATTTTTTATGTCATGCTTGGTAAGCGCTCCCCTTCCCAATAATTATAAAAATAGTTCTTATTTTTCCTTGTACTTTATGGTTTATTTTATTAGGTTACAATCTTTAATTTTACCTTTGATTCCCTTTTGCTTATGGTGCCAGGTAGGTGCCAACCTTTGTATATGCTTCTGAAGATTTTATATATACAGACATTTATCTTTTTTGGCTACCTGGGAGCACAGAAATTGTATAGAATCAGATCTCTGACTTGGTTCTAATAACGTGTTAGCAATTGCTGTAATGTTTATTCAAAGTTGAATATGAATTTAGAGTACATATATCCATCTCTTAGATTGAAACAGATTCTTGAGACATTCAATTTGCAAATATCAGTAACAGTAGATACTCAGATGTATGTGCTTAATAAATACCAACATTTTGCTAACTTTCTGTAAGTTGCCTTTCAGTTGGAGAAACTTAACAAATTCATGTATGTTTTTAAGTCACTTTCACTTACTGTATAACAATGTATTACATTAAGGTGGTACATTTAATTGACTGCTAATTGCATTGGCAGAGATACCATATCCCTATCTTGTAGGTCCTATACTTGACCTTCCCACATGCCCATACAGACTCCAGAAGCCATACAGCCCTGCAGAAGTGTGGTATTGTGCCAAGATAAAACAGTTTTGGTTTTAGTGAATACCAGAAAGCTGGAATATCTCTTTTATCTGAAGATTTGGAGAAGAAAAACATTTTATTTAAAACAAAAGCATTAGTATTCAGAGAAGAATGGAGAATTTTATAATTTTTTTTAATGTTTATTTATTTTAGAGAGAGAGACAGAGTACAAGCGGGGGAGGGGCAGAGAGAAAGGGAAACAGAATCCAAAGCAGGCTCCAGGCTCTAAGCTGTCACCACAGAGCCTGACACAGGGCTCGAACCCACGAGCTGTTAGCTCACGACCTGAGCTGAAGTCTGAAGCTTAACCAACGGCACCCGAAGAATTTTGTGAGTTTTTAATGTTAAATTAGAAGGCTAAAAATGAGAGCCCCTTGAGGCTATGTATCCAGGCAAGCACTTCCCTTCTCAGGTATACCCACATCCACACAAACTAGTGTTCTCCTCTTTTGACCTTTGTAGGGTATATTCATAGGAAAACTTGAGGTATACAAAGCCACTAATGGGCCTCCTTTCAATCTGCTATCATGCAGGGTACAGCCAGCACACAGCAAACTCAGCCTCAGCCAACTGCTGACTTAGAATGATTCTAACCATGGAAAAGAGCTGATATTTTGGAGTGCCCACCTGTTGGAGAGGGTGTAGTAGATGCTTTACGTTTACATTTATTCTTCCCAATAAGTTGATGAGCTAAATACACTGTTTCCTACTTTATAGCTCAGAAAATTATGGCTCACAAAGATTAGTAATTTACCAAAGTCATAACTGGCAGATCTGGGATTTAAACTCTGGTGTAATGCTACTGCACTTGATAGTTATCTCTTTCCCAGGAAATAGTTAACTGGTCATTTTGGTTTCAGAATCATTTATGTAATATATCAAGGGGTGTGGAATATTGACAATTATTGGTCACACACATTCGTTGTGTGACTTTGGACAAGTCACTTCACCTCTAAGTGCTAATAGCTTGTGTGGTAAATTAGATTGGACTGGGTGTCTCTAAGGTTCATTGGGGTTCTTCAGAACTAAGTATTTGCCTCTACACATTGTGCCTCTTCTTCATTAATCCTTGCACTGTTGCTTTTTTTTAAATTTCTTATATGGATTACAGCCTTTGCTTTTTTAGAATTTCAAATTTCAAGGCTTCATGATTGAATCACGAATCACTTTGCAAAAAAAACATAGTAATTTAGCTGTTTAGTGAGTGCTGCCATCTTGTGTCTACCATTTTATGAGAGAAAAAGTTAGAACTTAGAAAAATCATACTGAAGTATTTTTTGTTGTGTTTGTTTTTTGCAGGGGGGAAAAACACATTTCATATGATTTAGTGGGCCAACAACCTCAGTCAAATAGAGAGGACAATGTCATTTAGCAAACAACTTTGACATTTGCTTATGTTGCCTCCTTTTTGTTATCCCTTAGTCAGACAGTGAAATTGAGATGTGAAAACTAATGTGAATTTATATATCAGGGTTCTAAATTATTCTGTTTCAAGATAGTTTTTGAAGAGCTAGTATAAGATGTGAATGGTTCTATGATGCATGGTTGGTAATACTAGCATCCTTTCTCTTGGTGCTAACACCTTACTTGTTCTGTTGTTTCACCTTAAAATTGTACTTTTCAGTTTATTAATAGACAACAAAACTATCAAAGGAAAATGGAAGAGCAATATAGGATTTTTAGAGCAATTTGTTTACTATGATGTATTCATTTGTAGCATAAATACATAAAATGAAACTGACTTTAAAAACAGATGACACTTAAAGAATTTTGGCATTTCAGATGTCTTTAAAAATAATCTTTCTACCCTTTAGACATTTACTTTTAACAGACCATGGGGGTTTCTTTGAAAATGTTAAATGACTTATTATAGCCTTTTGTTCTTTTGTGCTCTTAAAAATCTAAAGTGTGATCATTATTCAAAATTATAGTCTTCCATTAAATCCATAGAGTTGGAGCTCTGGAAGAGAACTCTTTGGAGTTAAGCATTTTTGGTTGCAATCTTAGACAAACTTTTTTTCCTTTGTAAAATAAATAAATATCTCTCTTACAACACTGACCACATACTAAATTCTTGTTATGTATTAGTTCCCTAGCTTTCTTCTCCCCTCTGCTTTTACTGCTAAACTCTCTAGGTGGCCTCAGTGACTTCTTTAGGCTCACAAACTAATACATGTCGAAATTAGTTGTAAGTATGCATTCTGACTTTTAAGACAAGAAACTAGTAAATTCACCAACAGTAGAAACTAGTAAATTCACCAACAGTAACATTTTTAATTTCCAAATTACTATGTAGTGTTCCTCCCCTTGGCTCTTTTGTTAAAATGGTTTTTCTTATTTTAATTTTAGGCCACTGAAAGGTATGATATATTTGATTCACGACAGTCCATTTCAGCCCAGGAATCTACAGTGGTGACAAGGACATGGGACTCCTCCTGCCAGATTCCAGATGGTTCAATACACTTGACACCCTGGCTGACAACTGTGAAAAAGAACCTTGGATTACTTTATTTTATTTTTGTGGGACACCACAATCCCAATTCCATAGGACACATCAGGTAAACTGTCTTATCACTCAAGAAAAACATACCCCTTTTTCTTTTAAAATCTTACATATGAAAAGCAGGGAGCCAGAGTATTTTAAGAAATGCCCTACCCTTTAATAACCTTGTTGTTTTGAAAATAAGTCAGTTAACTCTGGTATGGAATATAATTAAGGAAGACTTTTTTTTTTTTTTTTTTTTTTTTTTTGAGAGAGAATCCCAGGTGCTGTAAGCCCGACCTAGGTCTCAATCTCAGGAGGAACTGTGAAATCATGACCTTAACTAAAATCAAGAGTTGGACGCTTAATCAGCTGAGCTATCTAGGTGCCCTAAGGAAAACTTTTTAAACTTCAGTTTAGTCTACCTCTGACTTTAGAATCTATTTCTCCCTCTTTTTTTTGTTTGTTTTTTTTTGTGTGTGTGGGTTTTTTTTTTTAACCTTTTCAGATGTGTTTATGGATTTCTGAAATTTGTTTAGGTATTTGTTTATGATTATGTGAGGTGATACATTGTGGTAACCATTTCACAATATATACGTATCATATCTTCATGTCATGCACCTTAAACTTACACATTGTTTTATGTCAATTACATCTCGATAAAGCTAGAAAAAAAATAGAAGTTGTTTACATCAAGTTTTGTTCTACAAGGCCACATTTCTCACAGTTTCAAAAATGACAGCTGTCCCTGATGCACTGCTATTTGGTATCAGCATAAAGTGTTTTCTTAAACTCACTAAAGGTATGAAATATATTGGCATCTTATGCATTTGATTTTCTGAGGAATCTGTATACTAAAATGTCTGATAATAGGTGTTGTTTGTCACTGAATCACATGTCAGGAGAGTTTTCAATGCTTGATTCATAATGCAGATTACCAACTGTGTTTTGTATAGAATGTTGCTGGGTTGTTTTTTTTTAATTATTTCCTTTTAAAAATTTGGAACTTTAGGCATCTAAATGAAGGCTATAATAGAAATATATTTTTCTTACAGGAAGATACTCCTGAAATCCTTTTTAGAAAAAAAGGTAAATCTCTATTTACCTTTATAACTACAACCATTACCTTAATATGGATCACTCCTTAATGTTTCTTAAGACCCTTTAAAAGTTGTGTGTGTGGGGCCCCTGGGTGGCTCAGTCGGTTAAGCATCTGACTTTGGCTCAGGTCATGATCTCGCGGTGAGTTCGAGCACCACGTCCTGATCTGTGCTGACAGCTCAGAGCCTGGAGCCTGCTTCACATTCTGTGTCTTTCTCTCTCTCAGGCCCTCCCCACTCATGCTCTGCCTCTCTCTCTCTCTCTCTCTCTCTCTGCCCACCCCCAAAAATAAATGAACTTTAGAAAAATAATTTTAAAAAGTGGCATGTATTTCAGAATCACCTCATACCCTTACTGTAGCTCTTATCTCATTGTATACCTTTTTTAGTGTATATGTCTGCCACTATATTCTATAGTTTTTGAAAGTAGGAATTTTGCTTCTATCTTGTTTAAAGCCAACATTATTCCTGGACCATAGAAGGCATCAGTCAATATTGTATAGTAACTGAATTTAAGAGATGTTTCAAACTGAATTTAAATTTTTTTTCTTTCTTGCTAAGGCTTCAAGTTCCCTGTAGAATTCTAAAATAACCTTTGCTGATGAGGATGTCTGATACTGTTACTGTAAAAAATGAAACTGAAACAATGAAGGATTTGGAGGCAGAAGTAAAAGATAAAACCAGAGTTGAAAATCTTATCAAATCAGAAAACTATGGGAAGATTTTGGCAGAGAAGAATGAACGTTGTATTGACAACAATATTGATTTGCAGGTAAACAGGATTTTCTCTCTGACTACAAATACTAATTCTCAAGATACAATTATACTCTTTATACCAATCTCACTCTCAAAATTCTAAAAGGGTAAGTTGACCCTTTGGGACGTGTTTACTAGCTGTTTTTTGAGCTATCTGGATCAGATTGTTGAGTGTAGCTCTTTGAATTGCTTGTATCTTTGATTTGCTTTGTATTTACTTATAATTGCTTTCATTTGTATGTGTCCAATTCATTTTTTATTGGGTTTCTACCTTTTTGTACTCCTGCACCTATTAGCATCATGAGAGTTCAGGATCTAACCTAAGAACCCTTAAAGGAGAGAAGAATAAGTAAGATTGCAAACTGTAGAAGTTTTCTTGCCAAAAACAACCCTTAAGGGAAGCAGTCACCCATGACTGAGAACAGAGGTTGCTGGGAAAAACGAATTCATGTGAGGCTTTTGCTGCTACACATATATGATTTAGAATTAACTACTGAGAAGGCTTTTAATTCCAGGCATAGATGGAAATTGATGAATTGGTCAACAGATTCAAGATAGGTAAAAATTATTTCAGGTAGTACTTACAGTATTCACTTCTGAATGTTCTAGTAATGTCCCATGATTTGTGAGTCAGGAAGATGGCATAAGGGCTTGGCTTACTGAATGTTTAGTGAATTTGTTGCCTAAGGCAACAAAAGTGGTTTTTTGCCAATATTTAACTGATAGATGGACTGGCCTGGAAAGTCCAAAACTATTTCACTCACATATCTGACACCATGGTGGGAATGGCTGAGATGTCTTCTCACCTGGAACTGGGAGCATCTCCCTGTGGCCCCTTCAGCATGGCCTACCAGGGTAGTCACACTTACTATGTGATGACTCAGGGGTCACAGAAAGAATGTTCCAGGAGGCAACCACAGCTGCAAGCATTCTTTTGACTAGGCTTATAAGTCCCAGAATGTCTCTTCTGTCATCTTTTGATGACATATGTGAATAAAGTTAGCCCAGATTCAAGGGAGGAGCAATTAGAGTCTCCATCTCAGTAGGAAAGAAAGACCTTTAATCTACCACAGAACTTTCTTAAAATATTATTTCTAACTCATTTGTTTTAGTTTAGCCCTATGAATAAAGAATTCTAGTTTGGAGAAAATATTTTATCGTTATTCTGTCATTCTTATTACATCCTGAAGATCTCGAGGGCTACTTTTTTATAAGCATAAAGGGCTATTTTTTTAATATACTTTTCTTATAAGTAAAGAAGTTTCTTTTAAGGGTTATTTCATTCATTCAGTCAGAAACTTTGTTTATTCCCCATTATATGCCAGAAATATGTTAGAAAATGAAAGCAACTCACATAGCTATAAAAAGGCATTTAGGCCCCACTGATTAAGTATAGTCAAGTGGTAATTACCTAAGAAATTGGCAGAAATAACATACTTTTCCTAGTCATTTTTAGTAATAGCACTTTTTAAAACAAATTGCCAAGCTTGCCGTCACTACACTGTGATGGCAGCATGCCAGTATCCTGATTGAATCAGAGAAAATCTGCTAAAATTCTATTGCACTTATTATTGAAGTAGTAGAAGATTTCCTTTTAGTCCCTTTTTTATACCTAATACTCCCTCTTCCAGGTCATGCTTATAAACAAGCGATCAGTTTGGATTATTGCATTTCTTACTTTGTGTGTTGTGTTGCCCTTGGCAGTAAGCACTGTTGAATCATGGCACAGTTCATACTATAGGAATATAGGAAAATTGCATGCATTCCCCCAAACACTTACTGAAAGCCTATTCTATGCAAAGGAAATACTATAGTAAGCAAAAATGAACATGGTCTCTGACATACTCCATTCAGCATCATGACTATAAAGATTGGGAAGAGAAACAAAGAGAACATGAGAATTCATCTTATATTAATCTGTTGAATGCTATATTCACAGTTTGTTCAGATGTTTTTTAAGAGTTTACTGTATGTGAGAATATTTACTCTGCTTGGAACTTTTTGAGATCCAACATGCCTCCATGCAAGGTGTCTGGCAAGAGGCTTACAGTCAAAACAACTTACATGGAAGAGATTTAAGTAGTGGAATTTAGAAATGGAAGTAGATTAATAAATATAAAAGTTTTTTCCTATATTTTTACCTATTATAATGTAAAAAAACGTCAACTGTGTTAACCATCAGTAGAATAGTCTTGTTACGAAAAATCTGGCTAATATAAAATTATCTTTTAACTTACTATGGAGTTACCTTATGACATACTAGTAGACATTTCATCATTCTTGGGTACCTTTAAGATGCTGGCTAAAGGTTTAATTTTAATAGCCACTGTATTTACTTAAATTTAGATGTGTATATCAACTTATATATGTTTCCTATTAAGAATTTTGAATAAACCAATATATTGCCTATTTCCTTGTCTATCATTCTGAATAAACTTATATCTGTTGTCTGCTTCAACCCAGTAATACTTGAAGTGACTTAGAAAAATGAAAATGTTTCCTCAAGAAGCATATATTTCATCCATTCCCAAGTCTTAATTTCCTGACCACCCCCTTAGTGCTTTATTTAGAAAAAGTCATTTTTGAATGAAGGGATGTAGTAGCTTCTATAATACTGTGAAGACATCTTACAGTTTTCTACTATGTTAAGGTGTTAAAGATAGCATTTATATAAAAAATTTTATCAAACTGGAGAGAGGACAGCAGACATTGGACATTACCTTCGATGATTACAAGTGGACTATCTCATAGAGCTCCTTAACCATTGCTTTTATATGTAATTCTGCTGGCGTGACTCTCTTTTTTAAAAATGTTAGTTGTGTTCTTCATTCAGAGTTATATTTCGGGTTATAATCTTTTATAGAAGTTTTAGAATTACTTCCTTAAGAATACTTTAGTGCTAGGGGCGCCTGGGTGGCGCAGTCGGTTAAGCGTCCGACTTCAGCCAGGTCACAATCTCGCGGTCCGTGAGTTCGAGCCCCGCGTCGGGCTCTGGGCTGATGGCTCAGAGCCTGGAGCCTGTTTCCGATTCTGTGTCTCCCTCTCTCTCTGCCCCTCCCCCGTTCATGCTCTGTCTCTCTCTATCCCAAAAATAAATAAACGTTGAAAAAAAATTTAAAAAAAAGAATACTTTAGTGCTAATTTGAGCGATCTGTGTACATTAATGTCAAGAAGTTAACTTACCTACATAATTACTGTGGGGTTGGTTCTGAACTGTTGATTATGGTCCCAGATAATTGTGCAGAGAGTTTTTGCTGAGTAATTTTTCTACTGCCACACGCTATTCCTATTACAGATATTAAGTTGTATATTGGACTTTTTATGATTATATAGTAATTAGAAGATTGGAGTGATGAGGAGTCAAGCTTCTAAATCCAGAAAAATGTTCGACTACAACTAATCTTTAATGAATGGTGGGGGAAGGGGAGAAGTGTTTGCTTTGGTTTTCTTTGTATAACTGATTAATATGCCCTCTGGTGTTCGATTTTTCTCAGGGTTAGAATTTTCAGATTAAATTTAGGGTGAACTACTTGTCTTGATTTTTTGTAGTCATTTATTTCAAATGTAAAATTAGGAATCTTGTGCTCTGCTTACTATATATTCAACTTCCCCATTCTTTTTTAATTGTATTTTTGTACAGGACAAATGCTTTGTGTAGGGGTACTCATCTGTGTACATGTGTATATAAACACAATCCAAACCTGTTTTAGAGCAGATTAAACAATGATCCCTCTCCCAACAAATTATTTATTGAACAATAGGATGGTCAGTCCAGATTGTGTTGGTAACCTTTGTTGTGGAGGAAATGAGAACTGATTTTTGTTTACAACTAGATCTTTATGTGCCAAAGAGCATGAACAGCTTCTGATCTATATGAGTGAATTTACCAGACAAAATCAGTTGAAGTAGGTGCTTAGTATACTCTGTTTCTGTAGCAGGCCCTTTGATAGTCAAGACAAAATACCTACATCTTGTATCCCCAGGTGAGCTCCAATGCCTTTCTTTAAAAAAAGGGAAGATGAGGCATGGAAGAGACAAGAAAGCAATGGCAATCTAATAGGGTTATCAGAAAAACTCAAGGTACAGACCACATTGACCAACAGGAGGTTAACAGGCATTAAATTATTTAATTGATGAAACATGTAAAGAAGTTTTTGTTTAAAGGATTGAATGAGGGGCACCTGGGTGGCTCAGTCGGTTGAGCATCCGACTTCAGCTCAGGTCATGATCTTGCGGTCCATGAGTTAAAGCCCCGTGTTGGGCTCTGTGCTTACAGCTCAGAGCCTGGAGCCTGTTTCGGATTCTGTGTCTCCCTCTCTTTCTGACCTTCCCCCATTCATGCTCTGTCTGTCTCTGTCTCAAAATAAATGTTTAAAAAAATTTTTTTCAAATAATAAAAATAAAGGATTGAATGAAAGGCTGTCTGTGTAAAATCATACAGATCTTAACTGTTTTCCTTTTTCTCCAACAAAGATATAAAGGATGTATCTAACATACCCAGTATATAGTGAGAGCCTAGCTAGTGGTAGGCATAGAATCTAGGTAGATTCTCTCCCTATAGAATAAATATCCTATAATATTTATTATCGTCAGCATGTTACTAATTATTTATTACTAATAGCACAACAACATGGCTTGTTAGAATAGTCCCTTTATTCTCACACAGCATTCTTTTTTTTAGTAGTAAAATACAAAATAAAACTTATTTCTTGACATAAGCTCCCCAGAATTGCAGTGAAGTACTCTTTGTTTCTTTGCATTAAGTTCCAGATTTGTATATTATACTTTTATTGTCTTTTATTAATATTTAATGAATTCAACTTTTTTTTTAATGTTTATTTTTGAGAGAGGCAGAGAGAGCGTGAGCAGGGGAGGGGCAGAGAGAGAGGGAGACACAGAATCCGAAGCAGGCTTCAGGCTCTGAGCTGTAAGCAGAGCCTGATGCGGGTTCAGACTCACAAACCATGAGATCATGACCTGAGCCGAAGTCAGACTCCTAACCAACTGAGCCACCCA